CTTTTTCTTCGAGTTTCTGACCGGGATTGTCATTTCTTACTGGATGTCTTGCGGCGTTATGAGAATATGAGTGGTCAGCGTGTAAATCTATCAAAGTCTGCGGTGGTCTTCTCTAAGAACACTCTTCCTGCGGAGGCTTCTCATTATGGCGCTTTGTTGAGGGTTGGTGCGATTGGGGCTAAGGATAAATACCTCGGACTACCATCCTTAATTCATCGGTCTAAAAGAAGTACTTTTCGTTTCATTGAGGATGTTGTGTCCAAAAAGTTACAAGGATGGAAACGACGCTGCTTGTCTCCCGCTGGTCTTGAGACATTGATCAAGTCTGTGATCTCTGCTTTGCCGGTATATGCTATGTCCTGCTTTTGGCTACCGAAAGGGTTATGTAGGTCTCTCAATCGCATGATTGCGCGGTTTTGGTGGGGTCAACAGGGTACTGAACGCCGTCTATCTTGGGTCTCGTGGCGAAATCTGTGTATGCCTAAGTCTGAAGGGGGACTGGGCTTCCGGGATTTTGAAGCTTTTAATCAGGCTCTGCTTGCAAAACAGTGTTGGCGTATTCTGACGGAGCCGGATTCTTTGGTTGCTAGGGTGCTTAAAGGTCGTCATTTCCACCAGACTTCTTTTCTCAGTGCTCAACCTGGTTCTAATTCTTCTTGGGCGTGGCAATCCTTGCTACATGGTCGAGACTTGCTTGTTAAAGGCTTGCGGTGGGAAGTTAGTTCTGGCACCTCCATTGATGCGATGACAGATCCTTGGGTCCCCTCTTTGGCGTCTTTCAAACCATGTTTGTTATCATCATCAATTGATTCCTCTCGTTTTGTCTCTTACTTTATTTCTCCTCTTTCAGGGACTTGGAATATTCACCGTTTGCATCAATTTTTTACTCATGAATCAGTTTCTGCGATCCTAAATATTCCGATTCCTCTGACCCCGGGTCTTGACCGTTACGTTTGGCATTATCAATCCGATGGCCTATTCTCCGTCAAATCTGCTTACCGCCTGGCTATGGCTGCGCGACCGCCTCCAAAAGCGGCAAAAGTTTCTTCGGCCTCCCCAGTCGATCAAAAATTATGGCCGAAGCTATGGGGGCTTCCCCTTTCCCCTAAGCTCAAATTTTTTCTCTGGCGTATTATTTTGCGCATTCTGCCTGTCAGGGAAGACCTGAATCGCCATGGAGTACAAGTTGAAGAATTATGCCCAATTTGTGAGTCCACAGAAGGTGAATCTGTCGAGCATTTATTTCTTCGCTGTCCGGTGGCAGTTGCTTTGCGTAATTTGGTAGGGCTCGATTTGCCTCCTGGTCTCCTTCTCACCACTAATCTTTCATTGTTTTGGCGACATCTCATATTCAATGCGGATATCACCTCTATTAGTTCTTGGGTACTATTATTTTGGCGACTATGGAAAAGTCGCAACAATGTTGTTTTCCTCCCCCATGCCCAGTTTTCCATCGCCTGCCTTCATCGTCAATTACTGTCACACCAGGCTGATCATCAAATTGCCATCCAGTCTCCATTACTCGCCCAGGCACCACCACCTCGCCGACTACGTGCTCCACAATTGAGTTCCGGATTTCGGATTGCTGTGGACGGTGCGACATCATCTCCCACTCATGGTGCGGTTGGTATTGTTGGCTTTCATGGCGGTCAGGCTACGTTTGGATTTGGGTGTGCTCTACCAGGGATAATTGATGCTTCAACTGTGGAATTATTGGCGATCCGGTATGCTTTACTACTCCTTTCCCGTTGGGGATGGTATGATCAACCTGTTCAGATTACTGGGGATGCACAAGCGGTATTGGAGCGGTTACAGAATAATAATCCTCGTGATGTTCGGTGCGGCGCAATATATCGTGAAGTGTTATCTCTTCTCCACAGTCTACCTTTGGTTACTTTGGCCTTCACACCTCGAGAAGTGAACCGGGCTGCCCATATTGTGGCACGTAATGCCCTTCGCTATCCTGGTATTTGTAATGTATTATTTGATTATTCTTATATGGTCTGTCTTGAGTCCGTGTAGGGGTTGTAATTGCTGTGACCCCACACGCTTATCTGGTTAATCCGCGAGGATTTCTATGACAAAAAAAAAAAAAAAAAATTTATAACAATAACACACAGTTAGTGTAACACCCTGACCCGATAGGGTGCTACTTTTACCAAAATACCCTTGAAAATAACGAATATTAAAATGCTTTGAACAACAGCGGAAACCTCGTACATTTAACAATACTTAAAACATGAACAACCTTGAGATATTTGTCTTAATAAATCTTCATCGTAAAATCACATCAAGTCTCTCGTCCCACTAAAGTAATGAAATTAACCTCTTCCTTCTGGAGTGCACTTGAGCCAATGATGTTGAATCCATATGCGTGCTTATGTGCTTATACCATTCCTGAATGCGGGCGTTGGGGTCAGTCCTAATCCTATATTCCATTCTTGACATCATATATATAAAATGAACCAACATACATAATGAGTGCAAATGCTCATGCATAAAATATTTACCGGACTTGTAAATGATTTTCTTGAAATAGACATTCTTTACGAAAAGGGGGCCCCGAACTCAACTTAACTAGCACGCCACCACGATCACCAACATACTTGAACATGATCTTATTACCCAGGAGTAGGGTTCGTGACCTCCTTATTACCCAGGAGTGGGGTTCGTGACCTCCTTAATCATAACATGAGGTGACCGCGTGCAGCTAGATAAGTGAGGGTTAAAACATGATCTTGCTTACTTACTCAACCTACTTGCTTGACATGATGATCATCCACTCAATGGGAGATCCAATCTTATGACTTGCTTAACTTACACAATCGTACTTCTTTTAAAAGTAACTTGACTTGTTTAAAACATATGTATCCATGAAACATGATCATGCTATGCATACTTAAAACATAACTTGTATCGTCTTGTCTTAAAACATAACTTTGCGATGCAATGCCATGCCATGCTTCAGAAATGAACATAATTCATAAACTTGGAAATGAATCTCATGAACACATAGCTCAAGCATAATTAGCATTTAAAGACATATCAATTAATTCAAGCAACATGCAGTGTAAATAACTCAGAATGGAATACTAACTAATGCCCCCTCAAACCACGCACCTTATTTGGTCGAGCAGTTTAACTTGGTCTAGCCACCAACTCAAAGGATCAAAGCTCTAGAGGAGATGATTCGCCTTGTCGACCTATGGCGAATGCCGATGTTAGATTGGTTGGCTTTTGGATTCTTAGCGACGATTTTCTCGACGTGGGACTACTTTACAAGATGTGCAAAGTCTGATATACCGGCATACCCATCAATTTAATATATTAGAATCGTAACTGTAATTCTAATACTCTTATTCAAATTAAATCACCAAATAACTAATCATGATATAACAGCCTATATATGTAGTTTAACTTAAGATTCAATAAACATATTGTAATGTTATTTTACTAATAAATCCCATTACTAGCCTCTTAATCATATTATTATATATGGACCATAAGTCAAAGTCTAATAATTCAATAATTTCACCCCTTATACATTTAAATATCTATTTCAATTACCCAACTTACTTACACAATTTATCATACTCAAAAATTAAATAACTAACTCAATCATTTGCTCATTACTAATCTTATATACTTATTAACCTAATAGAATCATCTTAAACACGACAATTTCTTAATTATCTATTTAGTCAATAACAAATTACTCCTATCGACATGTACATAATTAACACACTAACTTAGCAAATTATAAGGTAAAGTATACAGCCCATTTAATGACTGTCACAGAAATTATCACTAAAATGGTCAGTGTCGTCCCTAAAGGGTCTGCTGCTTACTTTTGTTATTCAGCCTTTAGCAACCGTCACATTCTGTTGCAAAAAGGCCTGCAAATCCTGTCGCTAAATGTCTGTGTTTCCGTCGCTAATTTTCCAGGGTTGTACAAACTCATATGACTCGCATAAATGCCGATTTGCACTCGAGGGATCAGATATTCTTACCTTCTAGTCGTGCCTATACCTAGATTCAAGTCGGCAGGACCTCCGTTTCTTTCTTAGATCGCACTTTGATCACTAGGAACCTCCGTCAGAGCTACGTCGTAGAAACGAACTTCGTTAGTTAACTATGTAGCTTTTGACCTTGACTTGAGCTGGGGATTTGTGGTTCTTACCTACTGATCAAGTGAGGAATTTATGGGACATGACTCATATATAGTGTGGCATCGTGCTTCTCTGGCGGCGATGATGAGTAGAGGTTGGCGGACGGAACGGCAGCCGGGAATGAGAGAACAAGTTGTATGCTAATGATGGAGGGTGAGATTTTGTGGTGGAGAGTCACTAATTAAGAGAAGCAGAGGAGATGAGATCATGATGGTATGCGATTGTGAAAAAGAAAGGAAGAGCTTGTCCTCTCTTATCTTAATGTGAGGGGAATGGGTTCAGTAGGGTAGTAGTTGTTGACGATTAAAGGAGGAGCGTTGGTGGAAATAAAGAAGAGAATGGTATGGGAGTGATGACAATGTCGGTGGTTGTTTGCATGTAAATTTTAGCTGGCTCCATAAATGATTGTGTGATTATTAATACAATTATGCTTGAGAGGGGTAATTAGGGAAACTCCAAATTGAGGCGGTTTGGGATGTTACAGTTAGTCATTCCTTGATTTTTTTTCCCGGTACTTCATTCCTTGATTCGCTACAATAATGGATGCACTTAAAGTGATTTGCGTTTAACTATTAAAAAATTAAACGGATTGATTCTATTCTCTGACTATGTATCCCTGACTATGTATCCGGACTTCGTTCTGGTTTTGAGTCTTTTGACTATGTCAAAAAACAAAAAAAAATTATTGCTTGGACCAGTGGAACCCTAGAACTCCTAGGGTAGGGTTCCAGACTCCATGGGGCGATGGGATCATCACTTACCGCAGGATCTACTGATAACCCTTACACATGTTTTCACCTGAACTTCGTTACTCGTTGGCTTTCAGCATGACTCGAACGATGAATAGAATCATCAGTAGCTTGACTGAGGCCATTAAGGCATTAACATGATGATTCATTGAAGAGGGCATACTTTTGCCACTGGAACAAGCTTTGCATGCTTTCTGTATTCTATACATAAAGCAAACAACAGACGGATGGATCCAAATCTTGCACTGGCCATTATAACAGATCTAGAAAAAGATTGATCAGTAACACGAACTAATCAAAGCACAACTTGAACAGTAGTTATTTTTCAACAGAGAACTTTCACTTCAGAAGGATTTCTCTACTTGTGCCCGAATATCCAGTCTATTACAGAGGATCTAGAAAGCAGATCTAATGAAAGTAACCAAGAACCTGACCCCCGACATTCCGCTTAATTGCCTCCTCGTGATCCAGCACGCCGTCCGGAGTCGTGATCACTACATAACCCCACTGCATCACAGGAGGAGAGATCAGAAGAAAACCCACAAATCAATCAAAATATCATGTTTAGATTGGGGGGCATGATGGCACAAAAGAAACTTGAGCCCAGACCTGACGTGTCGGAAGAGTTTGCTTTGTGTAAGTCTCTATGTCCTTTGCTTTGATGTCTTGTCTGTAAGTAAGCGCCTTGCAGTCTCTTACCCTCCCTTGTAATTCAACCGATATCCTTCCCACTCGATGTGGATCAAATAATTGATAATTTTTAATGTATCCTGTAAAAGTTCAAATATATGAGTTGAAGAGACTCAAACACAGCAAACAAAAGACCCCAGTTTGAGCTTTCAAAGAGGAGATAGAAGAGTACACAAAACCCGCTACTAAGGCTGATAAAGAACTTCTTTTTCTAGTCTGAAGCAAGGAAACAGACAATAAATGTCACGGTCTAAGACTAACCACAAGAGTGAGCCAAGTCTTAGTTAACTATCAAAGCTAGGTAATTAGATCAGAATCACGAAACCTAAGTTCCAAATAAATTCTGGTAGTTGCAGGTGCCATACGACAGCAATCATCCAGTCGGCTGAAATACTCTCAAGTCTTAAGTGAGTTGATGTCACCCAAGAAGATCTAATGCTCTTGACAGAAAAAACATGGATAACAAAAGTCTACAATATCTTCCGATAAAGTTGCAGTTTGCATCCCCTTCACTCCCACGGGATCCAAAGCAGCAACTGCTGACTAAATGCTGAGACCAGATCTTCTTATGACGTACTGCCCCTCCCATCTCACACCTTGTACTGGTTTCTCATCTATGCATCTCCCAAGAAGTTGACAAATTCTAGCTAAAACAACAACTAAAAAAGCCAGTTCTACGAACTAAAAAACTTGCTGTTGTGAAATTCACCATACTTGCATTGAAATGGTGGAGTCCTGTTCTGCTGAGATATTTATAATTTCCTTCAGTCATTCGTTTTGTGAATCTTTCCAGCTTAATGCAACAACGGGCGACAAAATGCAAAGAAGGACAGTGCACCAAAAGGGCTTTCCCAGTGCTATCTAATTCGAAAACACTTGGGTTATAACCCTATAGGAAGTTACTTGCTCACCCTAACCCAGCCAGAGAGATACGAATCTACCTGAAATAAACACACAGTTCCCTCAAAATTCGATGCAACTCTCCTGAATTTCTAAGAAAAAACCATGAAGGGCTATCAGTTTCCATTTTAACTGCATTCCCACTGTAAAGGCTCTCCATTCAATTCGAAACCTCAGGGCAAAGCACGTACAACCCATCGTAATGGCTACAAGGTACCAATCAAAGCAACGAAACCCCATTGCCAGTCACTCTCATTTACCACTAACCAGCTCAATTTAGCCGCCACAGAGTCCCTAAAATGAAATGCATCTCGATTCTAGGCTGAAATGTGGAGACACCCAATTGAAGTATCGCAACCGCGGAACGAAACAACAAAAGCTGATTGGGGAAGATTAGATCCAGAAGGAGATAGTTAGTTGGTTATTTACCTCGATCTTTCATGATCTTGAGGAAAGACGACATGACGGTGGAAATCGGCTTGAGCTCCACCGATGCCTTCCCTCTCTTTTCCGCATTCACGATGGCCCTCAGCGCATCGTTCAGTATCCTCCTTCCCATCTCCCTCTCTCTCGGGAACGCGAAGGCTGCCTGTAACAGAAAAACCCCAGAAGCTTGACGGAAGAACCGACGATGGACGCGGCAGTCGGCAGAGGGTTTATCGTTCCGTCTCAGTCTGGTGGCACTTTAGGTAATTTCGAGAAATTTATGGCTGTTTACGGAGAGAGTATGATCCTCCGAGTTGGGCTGGGCCGAGTTTACGGGCCTGAGTTCCGGGCTGCTGGCTTCACCTGCCGGGAACAGGTTCCAAAACACTCATTCTTAGTCTTTTGTACAGTGTATAATTTCCCCTTTTACATGTTAATCTTGTAGTGTTGTGCTTAAAAGCACTTAATCTTGTGTTATTATGAGCTTGCCTTTGGCATGAAAGAACAATGATTGAGAAGACATGAACAGTCTCTGAGTACGTTTAAGACTTCAAATAAAACCATCCTTGTCCAGTTGTCCACACACTAATTATTATCCATGCTAACAAGGTGAAGATGTAACTTTGTTTGAAGAAAAATATCCGTGGGGGTACAATGTTGTTCTACCCACAATCCCACATCTCTTGATCCATCATACATCACATTTCCTAACTAATGTGCTTCTCCAACACCAAACTCCCTCCGTACTATTTAATAGTTCTTATGCCTACGAAAGTATTTAGTATGTTTGGTCACTCACATTACTAGCTTTTACCCGACCCGTTGGTCGGAGGAATTTATTATTATTATTGTTGTTGTTGTTTGATGTTAATCAATTTGTTAATATTTTCAATTGATTTGAATTTTTGTAAATAATTTATTGACATTTTGAAAATAATTTTTGTGCTACTTGTTGATTGTGATATTAGTGATGATTAGTTCCTATATATTTTTTTATAATTAGGTTATCCTTACGTTAAAAGTGTGTATTTTAATTTTTTATATTTCTGAAAATCATTTGCACTTCTATTGTCGTGCATCCATTTAGTGTCTTCGACTTGAAATAACGTTAAAATCTTAAAAAGATGCAATTGACTAAAAATGCGGGAAAATAAAATAAATTAAAATGGGAAGAGGATGCGACAGGCTCATATTCATTTTGTTGTAATCTCAGTGAAGGATAATCTTAGTGAAGAACAATGCATTACATTCTTCTTAAGTAGGATCTGGATAACTTCACTCGTAAGTGTAACTCAAACTAACTAACGCTAGCATTAGAGCCAACACCGAATTAGAGAATTAAGTGACGAAGCAAACCAAAAACTAAACTTGAAGAGATATTGTGTTTATTTGGAGCTCCTAATGTAGTTAGTCATGGCTTAACTGAACTAACAAACGCGAAAATTAGAAGGAAAAACTAACAAACGCGAGAAATTTCATTATTTCTGCTGGAAAGTATAGAGAAATCTAGGGAATAGAAGGAGAAGTGCGAAAACAATGACATGTGTTCTTGAGATGTGGATTGTATGAAGATTAACAACACTATGCATTGCAATCATCCAAACCTCCAAGTTTTCTTTTGACGAACTTTGTAATTGGTGTGACAAAAACATCTTCAATATTCACTAATTCACCATCGATAATGTCATCGGTTACTTATGGTGAAGGTAGAGGAGGAAATCTATGTTGTCATGGATTGGGAAGAAGAATGAACATTGGCGAGATGACCCTGTAGTAACAAACATGTTAGCAAGAGTGAAAACATTATGAGTGTGTATGATTCTAAAGTTTGAGTGAAAATATATAATGAAATCAGTATATTATCTAGACAGTTGTCATTGTTGTTGTCGATGTCTTCTCTTTTTCTTCAATAATCCACAATATACAAAGTTTCCTTGCAGTGTATCGTAGTCAGTAAACTTGATATGCACATTTGATTCTTTTTTGTCATAAAATTATTGGGCCAATATGTTTAACGGTTTGGAGGCCACATGATGAGCAATACCAAATCCGTTGCAGCGAAGTTATTGGTCATAGTAATGACAATGCAAAACACGTGTTAAGAAACGGGCATATGGATTACTTTGATGGATTGACATTAGAATGATGGAGTTGAACAATGTGATCAACCTCAGTTGAGCGACATGTAATTTGGTTCGTTTGGTGTGGAGGACACCATATTTGACTCATAGAAACTATAGAAAGTCAAACCATCGTAAATAATATCAACTACACATCCATATTTGTCTTATATATAAGACATATGCATAGTCCTGACAACCAACCGTCAATCTCAAAACTAAAACTAACATAGTTTGATAAACGCAAGTTATAGTTCAAACACGATGTTGAACATTTAAGCTAATGAGCTGCAACATGCAACGACGTTGAAAAAGAAAGCATTTTATATGGGACTTCCATGTCCTGACTTGACACGAACTTAACATAGGTGTTATATATTTGGTGAGGCCGAACAACTTAGTTGCTACGGTGTACCTCTATGTAATGTAACATCTGAAGCATATTGACATATTGAGAAAATTAAAATGAAAGTTGGAGTGAAGGAGGTGAAAAAGAAGATCTACATATTTATAAGTGTGACAGCCAATTAATAGCTCTATGCTCAACTGAATGCTCAAGGCAGCCTACTTCTATTTTTTATTTTTTCTCACAAAAGTACTATCATATTTAATGATTAACTCATACCAACATTATTCCTAATAGGAGAACCACATTAAAGCAATAACTTTCATTCTCAATTTCTATGAGGAGCACATATATTTTCTATTTTTCTCACATTGTGGTAAATTGGTTTTACAATTTCCACAACAGGTGCAAAACTTGGACCCGCAAGAGTATAATGCGAACATATTGAATGCTTGAGGCGAACATGGGTGCGATTAGTATATGAAATGGTACTCTTCTTTTAGTTCGAATTCAATACTGTCAATCACACCCATGTATCATATACCAACCCGCAATACCTAAGGAGAAAGTAATTCGATGCCACAACCTGATCGACCCATGACACAATTGGTCCACAACCCGTCCGACCCATGAACCAATTGACCCAAAACCCGATGAACCCAAAACGCTACTAACCGAAACCCTATGAATTGTTCAAAAGTTCTATGATTTTCATATTTTAGCTCATGCATATTTTTAATTTAAAAAGATACAACAAATCTACAGGGGCAACTTGACTTTGTTTGAAGTGACCATGATTCAAATCTCAATATGTCTCTTTATTTTTCTATACATAAATTATAGGCTTAATACCCTATTTTGGCCCGAAGTTTGGCGTGAGTGTCAATTTTGGCCCGAATTTTTCAATAAGACAGTTGTGGCCAACTTTTCAAATTACTTGACAAATTTGGCCTAAATTTCTTTTTTGACCGTTTATATTGACGGTCAAACATCTATCCGTGAATGACTCAGCAAAATGCTGCTGACGTGGTTGATGTATGGGTGCCATGTCATTATTTTTATTTTTTAATTTAATTAAAATAAAAGTTAAAACAAAACTTACCAAATTAAAAAAAAAAACCCTCTTATTGTCTCAAAATCCATGGCTTAAGTCTCATATACTATCCACCTAACCGCCAGAATAATTAAAAATAACAATAAAAAAGTTTTACATTTTTCCGGCGACCACCACCACTCTTCCTCCGCCGCTTCCAGCACGAACCACAATAATAAAATTTATTAAGTCAATTTTTCCCTTATCATCTTCGTTCCTCTTCCACCCGAGCCGATTTCAATCTTCAATACCCCAATCCTGACCTTCAAAATTCTGCCCGGCGTCACCTGAATAGCGGTCGAGCAGAAGCAGGGAAAGCAATCGTTGACCAGTAGCTGGAGGTGAGGGTGAGGGCAATGATTTCGGGGGCGAGAATCAAAATCGGCAATCTGATGGGATAAAGATGGAGCGGGGGATGGCAGGCGGAGAAGAAAAGTAGACTGTCGATCTTCAAGGCTGACGCAGACGGCCAAATCATCAATCCCATCGCCATCCCTCACCAGAGCGTCGTCTTGATCGTGGGGTCGAGCGACGACATCTTTAGCCAGGAAACGACCCCCTCTTCTGCCTTTCCTTAGCCAATCAAAGCCCCAAATTCAAACCCTAATCTAAATCAACCACCATAGTGAAAATCAAAACAAAGGCGCCGACGAGAAGCAAAGGTCATTGACGCGGCGGCGACAGAGGGGACAGATCGAGGGTTGAGCTTTGGGAAGAAGGGTGGAGCTCGAGGAAGTATTAGATCCATTAGGGTTCGGTCAACTTCTCGGACACAAACCACGAGCAATCTAGCGTCGCGGCGGCAGAAGGGAAGGAGGAGCAATTGTCACTGCCGTAGTGGACCGGATCCTGCGTATGGAACTATGAAGAAGACGAACAGGCGGTAGAGAGGAAGAAGATGACGGGTGGGAGGGGGCGCAGGGATAGGGAGGGGACGACTAAGGGAAAAGATGGAAAATCCCGCTTAAATGTGCCGCCACGTCAGACTCCTAAAATCACTCTATGCGCAGGAAAATTTGAATGGGGGTTGCAGTTTTACTTTTCAGCTATAAATTATACTGTTGACTCATTTTTAGTTACTAAAAATATTTAATTTCATCTGTGGTCATTAGGTTTACTAAAACATGTGATGTTTGGTTTCTCTGTGTCAAACTCCGTTAAATTTGTCTGATGTGTCAGTCAACTATCATAATTGACCGTTAAATGTATGATGTGGGAATAAAAAATTAATTTTAAATTTCCATCTCATTATCTCTACCATTAAAAATAAAAAAAATAAAAAAGTATTCATTTTGATTCCTCGATGCTAACGAACTAATCTCACCTCTCTTTCTCAAAATTAATTCAAGATTTGTAGATCCCGAGCCCGGATTCTTGATTGGGCACTAGATTTAGGCCGTTCAACCAGAACCCAACCCCTGAATGAGCGGCCAGTTCCCCCGCCACCTCCAAGCCACGTGGCGGAGTCCCAATCCTGACGGACCCTCGATGTCTATACCAGATTCAACCAAACCAG